ACACCCCTGGGGTCTCCTGTTCTATGTGCACTGGTCCTTCTGTGTCAATTTGGTGATGCCATAAGCTCCACTTGGATACACATCTGGGTTCCCAGGCCAGAGCAGTGCTGGGCACAACGAACACTGCTAGGTGAGGGTCTGGTAGCCATGGGCCTTACAGACCCTGTGATTTTGTGGGAGAAGACTGATGAAAGGGTACATCAGGAAGATCAAATCCTATGCAGAAACATTAAACTCAGGAGGGAAAATAGGAGAAAGGCAGGCTGCCGGTCATGAGGGAGCCACCAAAGGATAGTAAGAACAATGCTAAACCTAGGACCAGCCAATCACATGGTAGCTGCCACATGGAAGGCTCAGTGCTCAGTGCCCATCATCACTCACAGCATCACCAGGCCTACACAGTGTTGGCGTTGCCGTCACTTCTTGCCTGCACTGCCTCTGCCGGAACCCCTTCTCACTGGGGACCATCGTGTCGACACTGGGTGGACACTAAAAGGCAGGGAGTCACCGGAAGCCAGGGAGTTTTGTCTCTCTGCTCCCGACTTGATCTCCAGAGGTTGGAATACTGCGTGGTGAAGCAGAACTGCTCAGTGAATGGATACATGATTCGACCAGTCTCAGAATAGCCAAGGTTAAGAGCCAGTCACATAGACAAGGAAAGTCCTGAAGACACAAAGCAGAAGCATGCCTTCCGGTGTCTGCACCATGCACCATGTCTGCCAGGGAGACAGCTCACCCACCCAGCAGGACTTTCACTGATGCCAGCCTGCCCTGACAGCACCTCACAGCTGACCTGCCCGTGCATGCCTTCCTATCAGCCAGGACTTCTCTTCAGTGGTAGCAAAGAACTGCAGTGAAGTCGTGGGCATCTGACACTCTGTGTAATCAGCATGCTAACTTTGCACATTAAAATGCATTCAAAAACCACTAGTTCATGCAGTGACAAGTGACAAACCCCAGCCATTGGCCTCGTACATTGACTCAGTTGGCTAAATCCTCCAGTGCACGTGCTGGCATCCCATATAGGCACCAGTTTTTGTCCCAGCTGCTCCACTTCCACAGCTTCCTGCTTGTGGCCTGGAAAAGCAGTTGAGGACAGCCCAAACCTTTGGGACCCAGAACTTGTGTGGGAGACCCAGAAGAGGCTCCTGGTTCTTGGCTTCAGATCAGCTCAACTCCAGCCAATGTGGCCATTTAGACAGTGAATCAACAAATAGATCTTTCTTTCTTTCTCTTTCTCTCTCTTCCTTCCATCCTTCCTTCCTTTGAATCCGCCTTCCCAAGGAAAATAAATAATAAATACCCAGTCATTGTAACAGCATCACCAGTGACCTTGTCCTGCGAGCTCACTCTGAGTGCAGGCCCTCTGCAAACACCTCTATTCACCACCTGTTTCCTCCTCACAGGAACCTAGGAGGCTGGATCTTTATCAAACCCATTTCATAAACAAAAAAGCTGAGCATCAGAGAGATAAAAGAGTTTGTCCAAAAGTATCTGCAGTCTACACTGCCCGGCTGCCCTGGGTATCTGCAGGTGTCTCTAACTGCTGCCTCGTTTCCTCAGGCAAGTTCCCCATATCCCACCTGTCAAACTGTTTCACATCTCAAAATGCAGTAACTGCACCAACCAGGACTGCTGGTTGCACCCAAACAAGGCAGCATGTGACAGCCACCGGATGCCTCCAGCACCAGGCTTAAGCACCAGAGGTCCTTGTTCTCAGCAAGTTCACAGTCAATAGTGGAAAAGAGGCAGGTAGACAAAAATGGCACCCTGAATCCAGCCCCTTCCCCCTGAAACAACAGGGAGAAGAAGAAAAAAAAAGAGAGAGAGAGACAAGCAAAGATTTGGCCATTTAAGAATAAAAGAGGTTCTCAGATTTTATGATCTGACAACGGTTTTCTTTCAGATGCCAGCTGGAGAAGACCCACCACAGAGTGATTCAAAGTTCTCTACAGGCTCTATATACAGTCAGGTGGGAACCCGATGCAGACCCCTTTGGGAGGCCTAGGGGACAAGTTCTACCTCCCAGCACGAGACCCTCCCAGAGATTCAGGCCACAAAGTCAAGCAGGACACCTTGAGATAGTCTTTTGTCAGTGGTCACAGATTCTGTGCCACACCAGGGGCTGCTGACTCCTTATCTGAGGCCTTCCCAGACCCCCTTTCCAGACCTCTGTGCCAGAACGCTCCCAGCACTGTAGCCCAACCAATGACTGCTCAGCCGTTCTACCTCTACTTGCACCATCACAGTGCACAACACTGACAGGTACAAACAAGTAGCACTGACGTGCAAGATATTCAGCTTTCTGCTTGCACCCGAGGTGGGTGGCATGGCAGGACACACTCAGTCCTCCTCTTCAAGGGCCACAAGTGCCATCCACACAATCGTTTTCACTGTCCTCTGACTTCTATAGTGGGCTCCGGGAGGCAGGAGGCCTGGCTCAAAGCCTGGAGACTCTGCAGCTCCCCCATGGTTACCAGGGCAACAACTTAAACCACCAAGATGTTGCCAAATCATGATAATAATAATCCTGTCATACAGGCCTCTTGCGAGACTAAATGAGGTGACATGCAGAGAAAGCATTTAGAACTGAGCCTAGTACACCAAGAACCCCACCAGGACTGCCCATCATACTCTTACGTGTCTTGGGTTGTGGGTAATTTAAATGTGAAGAAAATTTCTGCCTTATTATATGAAGACATTTCAAAAATGTTCTTGAAATATTGCTTAAAAAAATTTTTTTTGGTACAAAAATGCAAATTCTGAAGCCGGTGTTGTAGTATAGCAGGAAGAATTGCCATGCGGATCTCTGGCACCCCATATGGGCTCTGGTTCAGGTCTCAGCTGCTCCACTTCTGATCCAGCTCCCTGCTAACGGCCTGGGGAAAGCAGCAGAAGATGCCCCACATGCTTGGGTCCCTGCACCTATGTGGGAGACTGGGATGAAGCTCCCGGTATGGCCTGCCCCAGTCCCAGCTGTTGGCAGCTATCATGGAAGTAAACTGGCAGGTGCAGGATCTCTCTATTGCTCTTTCTCTCCCTCTCCCTCTCACATGAAAATAAAGAAATCAATCTTTAAGGAAAAAAAATCAAATCCATTCATTGGAAGGCTCTTCAAAAGTACTTAAAATTTGCATCATATGAAAAAGCTTACATGGATTCCAAAATTTTTGCCACCAAAATTAACTTACATTTTATTTTGCCTTGAGATTTATTTAGTTGATTATTTATTTATTTGAAAGGCAAGGTGACAGAGAGGGAGACAAACAGGAAACCCTTCCATGCGTTGATTCACTCTCCAAACAGCTGCAATGGCCACGTCTGGGCCAAGCTGAAAGCCAGAAGCAGAACTCCACTTGGGTCTCCCATCTTCCGGCTTCCACGGTTCACTAGCAAAGAGCTGAATCAGAAACAGAATTACTGGCTTTCGAAGCCCCTGTTCCGCTATGTGACAACAGCAGCACAAGTGACAGCAGAACCCACTGGATAACAATGCCCAGCCCTCTACTGATATTTTAATTTCTTTTTCCAAGAGCTTTCTAAAATGGCCTCTTAGAACTTTGATGTAGTACAATATATTACTGCTATGTTGGTATTATTAGCCATTGTTATTATTAGTTATTAACGTATGAGATTGCTTGGACAAAGGAGGCTCCCACTGCAGGCTTCCTTCCGGCACCGTGCTGCTGTCAGGCCTCGCATCCCTGGGCCTGCTAGGGAAGATCTAACAGCTCATCAGCAGTCAGCTTTATTCCAGAGGATCGTTCTAAGCCCCGCACGTACAGCAGATGCACTCAAGGAGATCCCACCGTCTTTGGGAGATCACTACCTGGCACTGGGGGAGGCAGGGAGGGTGCCATGACTACAACCGACCATTAAAACGAATAGTAAAAAAAACCTCAGTGTGCAGAGGACCCATCTACAGTCTAGCGCACACAGCGACATGCAGGCATGAACTAGCAGGCCTTCAGCTGCCTCTGCAAGAGCATGAATCTGAGGGGTGGGGGCGGAGCACTGCAGTGCAATGTGCTAAGCCACTGCTTGGGCTGCCTGCATCTCATATCGGAACGCCAGCTGGGTCCTCATCACTCTGCTTCCCACCAGCTTCCGGCTAATGCACAGCCTGGGAAACAACTGGCCCAAGAACTTGGGTCCCGGCCACCACCATGGGAGATCTTGATGGAGTTCCTGGCTCCTGCCTCTGGCCTGACCCAGTTCCAGCTATTGCGGCCATTTGAGGAGTAAATCAGCAAACGGAAGCCTTTCTCTCTCTCTCTCTTTGCTTTTCAAATAAATAAACATTCAGAGAACAAAAACAGAGCACAGACCACCAAAGTTCCAAGAGCCGCAGCTCCCATAGAAAGAGGCCGAGCACACGCTGGGCCCCTCAGACAGAGAAGAGGGAAGGGCACCTTGTTCGCCAGGCGATGCCTTAGCTATGCTGCCAGGGAAAAGCGGTCCTCTTCAGCAGGAGGTTCTGGCCTGGCAACAGGCTCTGGAGTCCGGCAATCTGCCTGACCACCGAAGTGGGAGAAAAAAAAAAAACCCTCAAGAAGATTCGGGCATTGATCTGACATGGACAGCGAGTGAACACCAAGCTTGCAGATCAGCAGTCACAAAACATAGTAGGGACCAGATAGTCCAAAACCCAGAGGAAAATTCTTTCCCAGCTCAGCAAAGTTCCAGGCTGCCGGAAATAGACAACATGGGGCTGGCGGGGTGTAAGACAGGAGAAAAGGAAAATTAGCCCAAAAAAGAAACTGACTGCCACTTCTCATGATAAGCTGGCTCATGCAAAATGCTGCACTCTAGTTAGGTAAAGCCACAAGATGAAAAACGCCACCCTTCAGCAGCAAGAAGAGCACAGCCTTATCAACAGTTGCCTCTGGGAGTTCCAGGACATAGCAGCCCTATGCCCCTTCCCACCCTACTCCCCTTTCCATCCCCAAACCCATAAGCAAGATTCCAGTGTAGCCTCAGAGCCCAAGCCAGGTCCTCACCTCCAGGATGCAGCTCGAATACTGGAGCCTAGCATGTCCCCAGTCAGGATGGTCCTGCTGCTCTCAGAAGGGTTTCCTCCTACTAAATCCTTGAGGATGGGGAAATTCCACACAGAGGGTACCAAGGATCCATGCCGCCCCCTTCTCTGCCAGTCCCAGCTTGAGAACAGACCTAAGACCACGAGACTGCGTCCGGAGAACAAGCCTCAACTTGTCACTGCTTATATGCAAAATGGGTCAGCAACATCCTATAACAGCCCAGCCACAAGCTCCACCCACTCATGTACCCCATACACAACGTGTTGTTCATGATTTTTTTTTCCAGCAACCAAACAGCTCAGGGAATAGGAATGACAAAAGGGAGAGGCTGGGGAGGGCGACAGCCAGCAAGAAGGGGCTGTTAGCCCCTGCAAAACACGACCCCCAGATCTTACCCTCCCGTCTACGCCCTGTTGAGGGATCCCCTCTCTTCTCTAATGTTCTGGACCGGTTTGAAGTCAGGAGCTCACCACGAGGGAATAGTCCATGCCTGCAGACTATCAGGAAAATTTGAGATGGAAGCCACAGCTTCACGGCTGCGCTTCCCGAAAGTCTATACCCAGACCACAAACACTGGCATTAACCCCAGCACAAGAACCAAGGGGAAGGCAAACCAAAATCTAGCACCCCGTCATCCAAAAGGAACCAGCACCAGGAGGGTGCAGGGCACCCAGCACAGCCAGAAACACAAGGCATAAAAGGAGAAAGTTTGCAAACACAGACTTACTGAGTTAATCGAAAATCACCTTGACCTAGTCCTGGGAACAGGCGGAGAGGGGTGAGGGCGAGGGGATGAGTGGAGGGGGTAGGGCAAGAGGGAGAAGGAAGGCCAAGGATGGACGGCTTCAGAGACCTCCGGCTTCACAAAAGGGGCCTCCAAGCCGCATCTGCGGCCCCTGTTCTGTACTGACTGGAGAGGGGTCTCATTTTGGAGATTAGGTAACAGGCTTTTGATCAAGTGCATAAATCCAAAATTGCCTCTAGGCGCGGGCCGTTCGGTGCCACCCTCGTCCCCTCCAGCCCTCCCAGACGCTTCGATTCGCTGCCAGCCTGGAGCGTGATGATGGGCAGGGCTCGTTAACACGCACCACAGAATCGGAAAGACCCTCTGCGCGCTCCGACGACCTACGGTGCATCTCTGCCCGCAAGGCCGATGCTCTCGAGTTTCCAGAAAAGCAGAGGACAGAACTGGAACTTACTGGAAGGTGGCTCCAGCCGTGTCTACGGGTCACCCAGGCGCCCACATCCTTTCCGCGTGGAAACCCACTCGCTGGTGCCGGGAGAGCCCTGACCCGCGGCTGCTAGCGGCTCCCCGATGCTCCTCCTCGTCCCGGCCGCCCCGAGCCCGGCTGGCCCGCGGGCCCATGTGCTCGGCCGCCGCACGCGCTCTGCCCGGCGAGCGCGGGGCTGGCGGGTGGCCCGTGACGTCACGGCGGCTCGCGCTCCGGGCCGCGGGGGAGGGCGAGCGCGCGCCGCCCGGTCCGCCGCGTGCGTCCTTGGGCCCCGCGCGCCCGCCTGGCTGCGGCCGCTGGGCGCGCCCCTCTGCCAGCTTGCCCGGCAGCGCGGGGCACAGAGCCGGGAGGGCAGCTCTGGGACGGACGCGGGGAGGACCCCGATGGTGCGGGGGAGGGCGCGCTCCACGCGGGGCTTGGGTCGGGGTAGAGGCACCGTGCCAGCGGTATTCCCGCGGCGTTGCTCGCTCCCATGTGCTCCATGCTTTCCTCAGTTGTGTATGCCTGTTCCAGTAGCCAGGGTCTTTGAAGCATGGACTCTTTCCAGTTTCCAGATGGGGAAAGCCAGTTCAGTGAATGGAAGGACCCAGAATCTCTGGAACCGGTGGAGTTCCTGCAGCAGACCCCCAGCTGAGCTCCAGTGATCTGAGCGCCTGCTTGGGTACCACGCAGCATCCGCAAGCCTGGGAGGGACAGATGCATCTATCCACGGTTTGGCCTTCTCCCGCTGTCCCAGGGGTTGGGCTGCAAAAGAGCGCAGGGGCATCACCTCTCCGAGCTGCAACCCCAACGCGAGTCGGATCTGAGCCACACCTTATTGAGCAGGTGTCCTGGAAAGCCCAGAGGTTTCTCCAAGGGGCAGGAGGACACTGAGCTGCCGCGAGGGGCATGTTCATCTTGCTTTCTCTACAAAAGCACCAACCAACGTGCAAGATGCCACCTCCTTTGAGCTTGGCGTTTACTGACCCCATCTGGGAGCCAGGCACCCGGCTAGGCCGCGGCAAAGATGACTCGCATGCAAGATGCCAGAGCAGGTCACACTTGGTAACCTCTTGGATGCACGAGTGAGTGATCTCAAGATCTCAGAAGCGAAAGTGATGGGCTCCCCATGCACCGCATCCTTCATCACTCTCCCCATCCAGGGGTGGCTTTTGTTCTCCTCCTAATTCTCTCTTGAAAAATTGAGATGTCTTAGCCCGTGCTCTTCTACCACCTGCTTTCCCATTCATTTACCGGCCCTGTGTACCTGTACCTGGCTCCCTGTGAGAGGACACACACAGCCCGCAGAGCTACAGCTGATTCTGCGTTTTCCCAGGAGGTGTGAGAGTGACTACACCGCACGCGCTCTAGCAGCCCTGAGGTCTTGGTATGCACACTGTTTAAATGGTGTCCTGGGTGCAGTGGAGGATTTTGAAACATGATTTGAAAATCTATTTATTTGAAAAACAGAAAGATAGGAGTTGAGGGTAGAAAAGTCCCTGCCTGTTTGCTCCCTGAATGCCAAGGCCAAGCCAGGATCAGCCCGCAGTCCAGAACGCAGTCGGAGTCTCCTTTGAGGTTGGTAGGGACTTTGAGCCAACACCTACTGCCTCCCAGGGTGCACCGTAGCAGAAAGCCCAGAAGCCAGGGCTGTGACACTGGGGAAGTGGTCCTCCTGCTGGAGCTCATGGGGGACCCTGCTTCCAAATGTGATCCCCATCCCCCTTCCTGGGGCCTTTCTGCTGGGACCCCAAGCGGCCTGTTGGCTGTCTGCACCAGAAAGCCCTGCTGGCTTCAACCACCTTCACCCAGGGCTCCCTGCATTCTGAGGGCGCTAGTACCTGCCCTCTCTGGGTTTCTAACACTGCTACAATAATCTCAGATTCACCTTTTTCCTTTTAAGAAATTCTTTATTTAGAATTTTTTTTTTCAATAAAAAAATCACATTTTGGCTGTAGCCGTCGTGCAGATTAAGCTGCTGGGTGGAACACCCACTCCCTAGATCATAGTGCCAGCTGTGGTCCTGGCTGCTCTGCTTCCGAGCCAGCTTCCATCAACGTGTCCTGGGCAGGTGACGGCCCGAGTGCCTGGGCCCCTGCTGCACACATCCATGGAGACTCAGAGGTCTGGCTCAGTCCTGCCGATGGCGGCATTTCAAGAGGGAAGCAGTGTGTGGAAGATCTCTTTCTTTCTCTCTTTGCCTTTGAAGCAGATGAAAAAAAAAATGTAAACAAGTATTTCAATATCTCCATCATGAAGATTTTGCTGTATCAGTTTCAAAATTTTTAAATCATTTATCCTTGCTAGAATGATACAATATGTGTGCATTGTTAAAGTTTAAGTTATGCAGAAAAACACAGAAAACAAAAACAGATTTTATCAGCCTGACATAACTTTCATGAATAATACCTAAATCAAGCCATTTTTCAAGGCCTAGGGACATCCAAGTGAATACAGATGCAGCTATTTGAGTGGATATAGATTTAACATATATGAAAGACGTATGTGCCTTATATTAGTACCTTCTAAATTAAAGAAGAAAGAAAGGAAGGAGGGAGGAGGTTTCAAAGCAGAGTTATACATGATTATCTTAGTTGTACCTATGAAATACATGAAATCTGTTCTCTATATATTAATAAAAGATTAATGTTAATATTGTATAGTCTCTATTTTAAAAGATGAAGTATTAATTTTCCCTTCAGAGCAGACAAGGGAGCTCATGCAGACACGAAGGGCCTGGATTGTAAGTATCCCTTCCAGACCGGAGATGCCACTTCCTAAGTTGTCCTGCAGGAACTAGAGCAGAGATGTTGACAAGCGTGAAGCAGCGGGCTTTCTTGGCAGATTCTCCGTATCGGAGGACAGGCCATCCCCGCTCGGCTGGGGACCATTTTCTCCTGTTTCTCAGGATTTCGCCTTCTGAGTCGCTAGTGTTATTGCCTTTGAATTATCACTGTCCATTCTTTCACTGTAATTCCCACCATTTTTATTTTTAGGATAGGGTCTATAATTAAGTGCTTTTGCACTCAGAACTAGTCTTGCCCTCTGTTATATCTGCTTCCTTATATCCAAAATCCATCTTTCCTTTATCACACAGTATCAAGCTCCTGTTACGACAGGCACCATGAAAGCTACCTGGACTGTTAGGAGTCAGGAGAGAAGATGGGTCCCCACTCTGAGAAGGCTCATGTTCTTCAACATACAAGGAGGGACAGGCAAGTAGCAGCAGCCAGTGCTATTGAAACAGATCATCCAGGTGAGGGGCCAGAGAGGGATGGAGGAAGCAGGGAGTTGATCTGACCCACAAGAGAAAGCTGACCAGTGGGGAACAAGTCCCCGAAGAGAGCACAACAAGGTTAAGGGTCTGCAGACACTGAGGACAGACCATCCGTCAGCAACAAAGGCTGACTGAGCCAGACAGGCCAGCAGCTGTGCCCCCATTGTTTCAATGATCAGGAACCACGGCCATCCTTCTGGAGCGTCTCATTTGATCCCCACCAAATGCTCAGTAATTGGATGTAGAACCTATGAGGGAGTGAATGGATGGGTGTCCCAGGTACTGTGAGAGTAGAAGGAGAAGAGACAGGTGCCAGGTGTGATGCAAACACAAAGAGAAGCGTCTGCAGGGCAGAGAACACCTGGGGAAGTGAGGCCTGGGCTGAACCCAAGGAAGAGGTTGTAGCGGGTCAGTCTGGCAAAGAGAGAGGGAGTGTTGGAGTCTATGTGTGACACACTGCAAGCACTCCAGCATGGCTAGAGTATGAATCATTGTTGGAAAAGTCATGAGAGTAGAGAGCAGGGACCAGATCCTGGATGTCTCGAATTCCATGCCGAGTGATTTAGCCTTTGCCTTGATAAGGGAAGGCGCCCCTGAAGACAAGAGGCGGGGAAGGGACTCAGGTTGTCTTGCTCTTCAGACAGGTCCCACAGCAGTCATGAAGAATCCGTGTCAGGAGGCACTAAGAGGAAGCCAGGGGACCAGTTAGGAGGTGGCAGCCAACACCTCTGCGGGAAACAATGGCAGTGGTCAGCTGGAGAAAGCAGAGGAAGGGGTGGGTGCCAGCAAGGCTCCAGAGAACAAATCTGCCAGATAGACATCTGCAGGGAGGGAGGAAGGGAGCAAGCACCCCTGATGGCTAGGTGCATGGTCTCTGGTTTTGAGGGTTCATTTAGGTGAGAAAGGGAGAGGTTGCAGACGTGGGTGAGGTACAGGGTGCTCTTGATTAAGGATTATTGACCTCCAAGAACCCAGCAGGCAGACAGTTAACAAATGTTGCTGGTTTGTGGGAAGACATGCAAACTGTGATGTCATCAACCTCTGGCCTAGTGGTTGATGTACTGAACAGGAACAGATGCACGAGATGGGGAGCCTGCTTTACATCAGACAGCCCGAGCCTGGCGCAGTAGCCTAGTGCCTTGCACGCGCCAATATCCCATATGGGCACTGGTTCTAATCCTGGCAGCCCAGTTTGCTATCCAAGCTCCCTGCTTGTGGTCTAGGAAAGCAGTTGAGGACAGCCCAAAGCCTTGGGACCCTGCAGCCACATGGGAGACCTGAAAGAAGCTCCTGGCTCCTGGCTTTGGATTGGTTCAGCTCTGGCCATTATGGCCACTGGGGAGTAAATCAATGGACGGAAGATCTTCCACTCTGTCTCTCCTCCTTTCTGTATATCTGACTTTCCAATAAAAATAAACAAATCTTAAATCAACCAATCAATCAATCGATCGATCAGATAGCTTGGAGGAATCAGCATGGCTGGGGTAGAGGCAGGCAGAGGCTGGCTGTGTGCAGAATGAATTCTGTAAATCTGCTTTGCCATTTCCTTCTCAGCTGGCTTGCTTTCCTTGTTTCTTTCCTTTCTAAAGATGAAAGTCAGTTACAAGTGGAGATACACAACA